AAAACCACCTCAACCTAGAGCAAAAACATTTATCAAAAAACTTGAGTTTTTTTTCCCAATTGCCATGTTTCCATTAAGGAAATTTGATTTTGGGATTTCAATTTGAGCAATTTTATGGTCAGTGGAAATGCATCCAGTGAGATGTTTTCTAATTAGTCATAGGATGCTTATAGTAGAATTTCCCCTCCCTCACCTGTTGCTGGACAATGTCAACTAGAAATTCAGAATTCCTCAATGAACATTTCACAACATATTTTAACGAAGAACAAAACTTCTATACGTTACCAGAGAAATATAGGAAGATCTCAATTGATTTTATACTCCAAACACAACATTCCTCAGAGGTGAAGATGTTATAGAGGAAAAAATTGTTTAACATTAGCGTGGATTAAAGTTAAAAGTGTGCAGGACAATAGGCATAACAGACATTTAATCAGCCAGGCACTAAAGGCAGTTAGACTTACTACTTATTGCCAGTTAGGATTATAACATTTCTTCTTTTCGTCCTTTTCAGAAGTTCAGTTATGTCTACCACGCAGCCGATTGGATAGCTTGTATAAGATAAAAGTGTTTCAATGGGGAATACACACTTAGTCACGCCAGACACATTAATGTGAAACTGTGTTCCACTGCAGAGCTGTGTAACACCTCTTTCCATCTCTTTCTTTCTCACAAACACACATCAGGGAGAAGATGCCCAATAAATAATCAAGTATATATCATAGAAATGCTACCGTAGAGTTACAATAAATAAAATGTTTAACAATCAAACACACCTCATGGCAAATCAGAGCTTCTCCTGTCCAGTACTGAGTTAATCACAACTGCTATTAATATCAAGCTGAAATTGGAAAAAATTAAATTGAAAAATCAAACAACTTGTGATATGGTTGTCTACTCTGTTTTTAAGTGTGGACTTAAAACCAGTTTGAGAGCTTTGGCTTGTTTTAGTTGTGTTGTGAATTGTCTCAAGCAGGATTTAAGTGATTTTCTATGATGTAGAGGGAGAAATATTTTTTGGAAACATGTTTTGTTTTACAATAAAGATTTCTTTGCTCTATTTCATGACAGTTTGGTCTTCAATTTAGCCCCGTATTAGACAAATAATTTCCACATTATTAATATTATTATTATTAATAATTGAAAGAGAGGAATCGGAGCCAGCTAAAATCCGAGTAGGTCAGCGCTCTATAAAATCGGAAATCAAACAGTGGCGAAAAAATCTCGTTTTAATAGTTCTTTAAAGACACAAAGGCAACAAGCTCTGAGTCTCATCGTTTGACTGACGGTTAAATACCAGGGAACATAATTAACGAGTCAACTTCAATCTGTTATGTAATAAACATTAAACAATATAACAAAAAGTAAAATGCATTTGAATAATGTTGAGAGTATTTATATTTATAGCTACTTTAGCAGGTATTTATTTCTGTTAAGTCTGATCACTGTGTAGAGCTGTCCTAAAAACCTGTCATCGTCCAAGAACAGCGTGCTAGCTCCCTCGTCTTTTCGCTTCTTCTGACTTAAAGTTTTATCCTGATACTCGAGACGGATTTAGAATTTCTACCTCAATCTTCCAGATTTTCAAATGCGAGACTGAAGAAAAATTATCAAAATATATATATGTGTGTGTGTGTGTGTGTGTGTGTGTGTGGGTGTCTGTGTGCGTGTATGCGCGCGCGCACGTACGTGCGTGCGTGCGTGTGTGTGTGTGTGTGAGTCTATGATTAGAATAGAAATTTACATGAATTAAACAATTGCATTATTGGAAAAAAAGAGGAGAATTTGTTTTTTTTTCTCATTGGTTCTTTTTAAATCACACGTAGCACATCAAACCTATATGTGAAAACAATACAGTGAGAACCTTAATGATGAACTGGGGACACAAACATGAACTCTAAAAACAGACACGCAAGACGTATCATTGCGAATGTTGTATGAACGACAAAACAAAAAAACGCAGTGACCAAACAGGCTTGTTCTCTTATTAGAAAAAGTATAAGTGTAACTGTGATCTCGGTATGCTTTGCTTCACTTCAAAATCTTGTTTAATTTCTATCTATTTCAGAACTTTTGGTTTATTTACCACAGCTATTGTAAATGTATTTTTTTTATCAAGTGGCCTTGGAATTATCAAGATATGTGAGACAGTAGAGTGTATGGGGCTGCTATTACGGTCATTGCATAGTTACAATGACCGTATGGATCTTCTAAGGTTGGACTTTGACGTTAAACAGAACTTTAAGTATGAATCCATTTGGAATTGATTGCCGCTCTTTTATGATGCATACCTTTAAGTTTTGCTTCCTCCAGAAACGAAACAAAATAATTAATAACATTAAAAACATATATACTGGCTTCAAAGACTGGTTTTGACTTATGGTAAATATTTTTAAATATAGCCCATTTTTATTCTTCTATAAACTGAGCCGTCTGTCTAGTCAAGGATTATGTATACTTTTCCATAAATACGAAGATTCTTAATTGTGCCAAAGTATTAAAAACGTATATAAAAACAAAATAGATGACGAAAATGAAATAAAGAAAACAAAGCTAACAAGGTTCTGAATAAATATTCTACCTTTGTCTTTCTATCATGCAATGGACTCTGTGCAAGATTCAATATTCCTCTTTTTTGTTAAGAAAACGGACATAAAATAGTTCTTTTAAACATTATTTGATTTCTATTTTTATATTTTGTTTCCTTGCGTCCAGACTTCATCTCTGTACATATAGTTTAATCAGGAATTTGCTTAGGTACAAATAGGATCAAAAGTATAATTCAGCCTTGGTCGTCAAAAAACAATAGGCTGTTCACATCTATGTACAACAGAAGCATGAAGCAAACCTAAAATATATATATTTCATTAAAAAAAGAAGAAAAACAAAATGGCCGGTGCGGCCCTCGTCTGCTCTGATCTCCTCCATACACACATCTGGTTCGTCCAGTGTGAGGGAGTTTGAATGCCCGCTTGCTGTGCAGCGAGGTTTTGCTTGAAGTCTTGACACTAGTTAAATTTCAAGCTCTTCATTCGTTCCTAAGGTGAACTCCTCCATTGAGTTCACCTCAAATTAAATGTTTTAAACATAACTAAATGTTTAAAACAAATTAAATGTTTTCACATTTAAATGTTTTAAATCTTTTAAACACAACTAATTAAATGTTTTAAACATAACTAAAGCAGAAGTTTTCTTTTCTCTTACTTGCCTCAGTTATTTTGTATAATGTTGAAATCAAATTAATTTCTAATTGTTTGAATTTTTAATATTAAAAATAAAGTGCTTGGAGCATACGCTAAAATAACTTCTTTTGGTTTTGAATTTCATTGTGTGCCTGAACACTTTCTCTAAACATATTTATTACAGTTAAAAAAAAGTTCTGTTTAACGTCAAAGTCCAACCTTGAAAGATGAAATTTAGTGAAGGTAATTTTCCTGACTTTGCTTCCAGATTTTTCTGTTCTTCTTTTCACAGTTTGCTATCAGACAACAATAAAAGCGTTCCCACGGAAGCATCTTTGTCCAAGCTACTCCGGATTCACAGTTTGTGGCAATGCAATGTTTCAATTAAACTAACCACTGATTTCAGACCTGTGGAGATAAAAATGATAATTGCTTCTCTTCAGACACATTATTAGTTTGTTTACAAAGAGAATCATCTTTCAGAGTTGCCGACTTCAAGCAGGAAAGGCCAGATAGTCAAATGGTCATTGTTCAAACAAGAGCAGTGAAGGAAAAGAGGGCTTTCAATTTCATAAAGATAAAATCTAATATGATTTTGCAGATATGATCTGAAGTGGGTCTAGCTCTCTCCAATGTGAGTTTTGTAAAGTGGAGGAGAAGCAACCTTCGCTCCAGGTTCTTGTATTTATTTACAAAGTTTCACAGTTTTTCAGATTTATTTCAGATTTGTCCAACAGGCATACCACTGCACATTTGGGTGAAAAAACACCAACCTAGATTAAGTCTTCTGATTTCCCTACAGTTGAAACAATTCAATACCAAAACTAATTTACAATTCTGTGGTTTTGTTAATGGCTTTTTCACATCTAATTAATATCTATGCAAAAGCTGGGCGCTTTGGCCTGGGCTTAATCTCGTAAAGTAATAGTAAAACAGATCACAGCTTTTGCCTCATTACACCTTTATTTAATTTGTAAAATTCCCAAAAATGAATGCCAAATCTTGTTTGGCATCAAAATTAAGAACTTATTGTCCAATTAAAAAAAAAAAGTAGAGGAATACGATTCCATTTTTAATTTTGAATGAGTGCAAATTCATTTCTGGAAAATGGGTTGGATAAAACGTTATGTTTTGATGCGGGGAAAAAAATGTCTAAATATAAATATTTGCATTAACATTTTAAAAAGCCTGGAAGGTCAAACATTTATCACACTCAGTTTTCTGATTCAGAAATGGAAGACAGTTAAAATAAATTCCATATATTCCACACTTTTTAAGAACGAATCCAGGAACCTTATACTTCTGACATTAACTGAGTACTAAAGTCTTTCTGTCGTTCTTGCAGTGGAGATGAAACTGGACATTTTCTTTACTCTTGACTCTTGAACCTAAACTGAATGGAATAATGAAATATATGAGGGGACTTTGTGCGGTTTGGGTCATCAGCTGAACAAGTGACAAAAACAGGTTTGCGTCTCCAGGTGGAGAGATGCGGGGCGTGGGGATGAGGGGGGGGGGGCACACAGAAAAGGCTGCTGGAAAAACTCCATATGAAATGAAAACACTGGGGATGCTCATGAAGAGGAGGATGTCCTCGGAGGACTCACAGAAGACTCGCTCACGTCACAAACACCAAACACACGCGGCTGTGACCGCGGCTCGCGCGCGAAATCGCCAAATAAGCAATTCCAGGAATAGTTTAAACACACAGATATGTTTAAAGTTGTTCTGGGCAAACTTCTGCCTTCAGACGTACGAAAACACTTTAGAGGATAATTTAGCGTAAAGCTTCAGAAGAGTCCGGAGCGCCAGTCTTACCCTCGTTGCTGCTGGTTCCTGCGGCGCCCGCAGCCCTGAGTGATATAGTCCACAGCAGTATCACAGCCAGCCCCGGATCTGAAGCCATGGTTGATCCTCCCTCACACTCCGCCAGTCTCCCTCTTGCCTTTCTCCCCCTCTCTCCTCCGCTCCGTCTTCCTTCTGCTGCTCCTCCGTGTCCCAGGGTTGAAGAGAGAGCGCCGCGCAGAGTGTTTAGTGTGCGTCTGAGAGTGAGAGTGTGTGTCTGGCTGCGAGCTCATTGGAGTTGGGAGTTAGAACCTGCCAGCCTCCTCGGCTCGCTTCGGTCTGCCGGCTGCCCCGCGCGCGCGCGCTCACACATACGTACACGGACTTTCGGCAAGCTGCGCGCGTGGGGAGGAGAGGAGGGGAGGGGGGAGGGAGGAGGGGGGGGGGGGACAGCTCGTCCGTTAGAATCGCGGAGCCAATCAGAGCCGCACGGTACACTAAACAGTCGCGTGCTCATCACACCTTCTCCATCCCACCTGCCTGGCCAACTCTGATTCTCTGTTTATCTCTCTGGGTCATGAGTTCGGCACACTGCACCCCTCTCTGTTATTTACCCTCATTTGTCACTGGCTCAGCTCTCTCAAACACACACGCAGACACACGCCAACATACACACTCTCACCTAGCCGGTGGCAAATAACTGACTGTGGAATGAACCCAAAAGCAGCATCATATCTGCAAGGCCAAATGGCATTGATCGGTTATCAGTGTTCTGCACTGCATTCATATAGGACCCTGCGCTGTGCTCAGGTGCAGCACAGTGTGACTCAACATGCTGTTAAATATGTGTGTGTCTGTTTGATCTCGAGATCTATTCATCTACTGAACCGCAGATCAATGAACCTGTCCTGATCAATTGCTTTCTGCTGTCACACTCCACACAAACACCTTCATATACACAGGATCACACAAATGGGCTTCATTACAGGAGGACATTTTTTCCCACTCCATCATTGCAGCCGAAATCTGCATTTGACTAACGCGGTGCAAATGATGTTTACGGGCGTAAAACTGCTTAAAGATGTTTCATAATACAAATCTAGACACGCTGCAGGAGGGACAATGTGCCAACACTCCATCAGAACCAGGATCAGAACATGAGGCTGAATTCTCCACAGAACTTTATTAACAGATGATGACATCCTCTTGATTTATTTCAACATTTTACTTATGCTTCATACTTAACTTGTGCATTGTTGATCTCATTCATATTTATCTCTCGTTTTAGTTCTAGAACAAGCATTACTAGTACATGTCTCAATGGCTGTATTATCAGTCAAAAGAAACTTTATTTTTGTTCTAGTATGCAAATAAACAATGACAAATACTTACAGTTCCAAGATTTATAGCACAATTGTTTGTAAGTGTGAAGAAAATCAAGACTTCAAGTATATCTTCATATCTTATACTGCTGCATATTTTGGATTTTATTTGTTTTTCTTAATTTTACTACGATTTGTATTAATAATAAAAAAAATAATAATCCTTTGATTAAATTCCCATTAGGTATAAGGGATGTGCTTGACTGTTTGTCCTATATTTTTCTGAGTTGGCCTTTGATGGATTGACAACGTTTCCAGGTTGAACTCTGCTCCTTGTCCAATGGCCTCTGGAGATAAGACACCGACTTCCCCGATGATTGTTTCTCTCTCAACATGTTTCTGTGCTCTAAGGTGTACAGACTCAGTGTTAGTGATGTTTGTCCAGAGGTCTTCCAGCTGGCTGAGTCGTCAGCCGAGCAGTACGGACCTTCAGCTTTGGGCTGCAGAAGGAACTGTCACAACTCCTCTATAGTTGTGGTGAGGCAGCCTTTGCTGCGACCGTGGCTTGATTTGTGGACGCCCTCATCCATTACGCCCATACAGGAACATTGAGTGTGAAAGTACATTCATATCTCCTTCACTTCATGAAGGAGACAGAGGTTAGTTAAGATGAGTGTCAAGCCCAAACTGAGGCAGAGTCATGTGTGCCAAACTCCTACCTCCCTCACCCTGTCCTCCCCCACGGGGTTGGACACACAGGGGGTTTCTGTGTGACCTTATAATGGCTCCTCCACAGAATCTACAGAGTTATCCCTGTGTGCAAGTCAAGCCACCGACCAGCTGAAGCAGAGGGAGCCGCGTTGTATTCAGTCAAAAGCAGTTATGCTCTGTTGATGTTTCATTTCTTATCTGCAATGTGTTCATGTGTGAGGCTCTGTTTCTTTACCACTAGGCTGCACTGTCAGTCTGCCAGTCTAATAGGCTGTGAGGACAACAACACCGTTATATTCACCCTGACGCTGCAGCCTTCCAGGAACAGACAAGGAAGGCTGCAGAGGGTGCTCTCTGAACCTTTAACATCATCAACACCCCAAAAACCAACCAAGCAAAAACAGAACAAAAAAAAAAAAAAACGAAAGAAATCCCTGACTTCTGTCACCATGTCATGACTACGAGGATTTATGAAAGGATAAAAAGACACTTTGTGATGGAAAAACAGGGCAAGAGTCTGAGAATAAGAAAGATGTTTTCAAACCAGAGCAAAAATGTTGCAGTGATCCTTTTGTTATATGTCCCAGTGAACTTTACTTTAGTGAAGCAGAAAATACTTACAAAAGCATTGAGGTGTGTTAAAACAACACACCTCAATGTATTTCTGTACCATTTTATTTGACAGACAACAACAGAGGAGTATACAATAGAGAAAGGAAATGTACATGGTTTTTCACTCAAACTAAAAAGACCAATACAATTTTTAAAACATAAATCTAAGTCCCTTCAGCTCAGACTTTGTAGGACCACTTTTCACAGCAGCTGCAAGTTCTTTTGGGTACGTTTGTTCCACCTTATCAGTGTATGATAGTCTGGATCTCCAATCAATGGGTGTCAATCAATGCCACCCAGTGATAGGAGGAAAGAGGCAGCAGCCGTTACCCAACAAACACACCCACCACCATTCCAGTGTACCTGCAAGAAAAAATGGATACAAATTAATTATGAATTACAAAGTTTTTGTAAGCCTAAAGTTTTCCCTTTCAGTAAGGTCAGTGCTGAAAATGAGAAAAATAGTCAGTACAGAAAATGCGGCCAACATGATGAAAAAAAGCCGTTACGGTTACTCCGCTTCACAAACTATAGGTGCACACAACTGATCATTATGCAAAAGAAAATGGATAGAAAAATATTCACTGTAGGAGCCATCTTATCTGTGTGACTGCTGGTGTATTGGGGCAAAGACAGACAAACTGCCTAGTTACCTGCTGAAGGTCTACTCAGTCAAACTCATTTGGTCAAATTTCTCTGAGATTCACATATTCCTGTCTGCTTTAAATGGGACTCAGAAAAGTGTTCATACTCTTCTACAGAAGATGTTAAATTTGATATTTGAAATTTTAAAATACAAACTTTTAGAGCCGGCGCCAAGTGCTTGTGGGTAGTTCTGGTTCCCAAACTTCCACAACTTTCCACTGTGAAGGGTGAAAAGCACCAGTGCTGTGATTCTTTTTTGCAGTCAGAGTAATTCAAATTGCAGTCATTGTTTCCCTGCATGGGGATCAATTCCTTTTCATCAGCTTGGCATCCCAGTTCATCAGTCCCATGTCTCATTTGTGTAAAGAGGAGGTGGTAAACAAAATAACAAAGAATAAGTCACAAACATCAGACTGAAGCTTGTAAATCTCATGGGTAAGCAACCTGACAAGTAGTTTTAACACAAAGTGAAAAAGTGACAACATTGTGGAGGTCATTTAGGTCTTTCACAACAAGTGAAGCAGTTTGTCGAGGAAAAGTTTTTTTTTGTATGGATGCATCCACACACACCCACACGCTTACATGCACATACACACACGCATGCACACGCACACACACAGAGAGATATCTCAACCTTATTAAAATGGTTCCCCATGGCTTTCTGCTCCTGCAGCAAGTATTTGATAACCCTTTTTTCAGAACACAATATATACATCCAACAAAAGCTTCACAGTTTCAGCAACACAGTGTACTCCGCAGCGCATGTGTACACAAGAGCCCTCGAGCCAGAAACCTTAATAAATCCACCCGGGTTGGCCCGGGAGGTCCGTGGGCCGAACTTGGCATTAAAACCTTAAGGTTTGTGTCTGCATGTGTGACAGTACGTTTGGGCAGGACTGTATGCCGGGCAGTAGACAGATGGTGGGGGTCAGTGTGTGCTGCATGTTGTGGGGCTCGCTGGTGTGTGTTGGCTAAATATAGCTCCAAAGAAACAGAACTGCTCAGAATCCGGTCACTGACTCTGCTGCTGCGATCGTCTCACTTCCCAGGTCAGTTCAGCTCCATTTGTTTCACCTCTGTGGAACTGAGACGTTTCAAACCATACAAGTTTATTTTAGATTATGTTCATTTGTATGGCTGAAATTGACTCACTATAAAATGACAGGAAAGCAGATATCCTAACAAATGTAAAGTATAAGTTAAGGTGGCAGCAACTTTTAGTTTGTCTTGATTACTGGGATACAGTGCTGTGAGAAACTATTTCGATTTCAGATTTTTTTTTGTGACACCTGAATGTTTTATGTGAGTTGTTTTCAAAATTTTTGTCCCAAGGACCACATTATTGAATGAAATATTAGTTTTATCAAAAAATTGTTTTATCTTCACTTCTCCTTTGTACTGTGTTCTGGTTGGTTGAACTCATATCCAATTGTTCCTCTTAATTTTGTCTTAAACTAATCTAAATTCATTCAAAGCTGATTTGGTCTCCTCTCAAAATCTTCAGAGCAAACCTTAGTCTCACTAAGCACACACATTCACACTGGACTTATGTTTATTCTTTCATATTTTGGCAAGCAATTCACAATATATTCTGGTGCAAACTAATCTCAATCAGCTGAGAGCTAATTCAGTCTTATTGTCAAATTCTTAATAAATAAACCTGGTTATCATTTTGTTGAGCATTAATTTTATTCTTTGTTGTTTTATTCATTTATTTTTTGTTTTGGTAGTTTATTAGTTTTCATTATTCTTTAAGTTGTACTTAGTTATCGCTGTGTTTGATTAAAGCGGAGAGTTAAATTATCTTTGGAGAGAACTTGTTCATGTTTATTCTACATTCGTTCACAACTCTGCTTCTCAAGATAGTCAGTGCTGAACTTACATCCTTCATCTATTGCACATAAAGCAGATATTTATAAGCAACGGGTCACAAAGCCATTTTTTAGGTTAACTAGTGAGCAAAGCAAGGTGAGCATTTATTTACTAATGAAGAAGGCATGGCCCAAAGGTGCTTCAGTCAGGTTTCAGAGATCATCACAGC